TTAGTAAGATCGGTCAAAAGTACGCAATTTGTCTAGTAATTTAATGGGAAAAAAAGCAAAAGAAAAAAGAAAGACATGAAAGAAAAATAAGATATTTACACCAGTTTTTTTTAAAAAATAATATTGTAATTATTTAGTAAAATCATATCTTCTTGTATAATGCATACCACATTACTTCATTTTGTTTAAATTGTAGAAGATATTAAAGTTAAGTAAAAATTTCAAATTACCTTCGAATGCCACTTCCAGATACTTTTACAACAGGTAAACGAGTAAACAAAAAGTTAACATTTCTAGTCTCCTCTCCTGAAATTAAGCTCAAACTCTATACATAACTGTAAATAAATTAAATGAATATTGTAGAAAAAGTAGAAATCTTCTTCATTAAAATTTCTGAATTTATGTGTTCATTGATACTAGACTATCAAAAATGCAAATTGTGTGTCTTTCAAATTGCAAATTCATAGATATGCAAGAAATTCATATTATATTTAATTGTAGGGAGTTATGAAAATAGCATTATTTTCAATATAAAGACCTACATTCATTTAAGTCAATCGGAGTTTATTGTCTGCTTTCTAAACATTTGTCAATAAAATAAATATAACTCAAATATTTTTATATACAAATCAGAAAGACCTTACACAAAGATATAACCAGATAGCCATTATCTATACTGTTTTAATGATTTGAAGCATCATAATATGCATTTTTGTAAGACTCATTTGATAACACTGTAGTTAGCTAGGTCAGTAGTGAAACAATCATAGATGACTCAATGCTAAAGAAAAAGATGCAGAGAAAATTCATAATTATCTGATTGTTTTATAATTCTACATTTCCTATGAGCTATAATTTTTATTGCAATTCTTACCCATTACAATTAGGAATATATTAATCCTAGAAGCATTCGAAATTCATTTAAAAGAAATTCAAAACAATTTAGAGAAACTACTATTTTCTACTTTTATATATGTATTAGTTTTCAATAACAAGAGGATTTCCCAAAAATTTTGGTCCGGTTAATGCAAAATTAGAGCACAAAATTTAAATCATATTTTTCGTATCAAAACCCTAGTGCTAAATATCCATAAAAAATAATTCATTTTATGATGAAACTGAAACATTCGAAGTTTATTGCAAAAGTTGCCTTCAAGAAGCAAAATGATTGTGTCACAGTATCAATGGGAATTCGTAAATATTACTAAAATGCATTACTATAATATGTAATATAATAAGGACTAGTAAATACGGATAATATACAAAACGAATAAAGACTATATGTAGTCCTCTGAACACGCACCATCACCACTACACTTTATATAAAAATTAGTCATATTTTAACAATAAAACGAAAAAAAGTTTTTTTGAGCAATCCAGCACTCAAAAAAGCATGTGATTCGATTTTATACAAGTATATAGTATGAATCATAGCCAACATGCTAATTAAGCCTGACGTGAATATTAGAAAGAACACATATCGAAGTATAAAAAATGGCTAACTCCATGAAGTTATAAACTTATATGCAACATTTTGTTCTTTTTGTTACATGCAGATGCAATAATGAACATCGTAGTAGAGTTTATGGCTGGGAAAAGAGATAGAGAAGCTTTTTTTCCCTCTCTGTGAAGTGTAACAGGAAGAAAATGTTTAATGTTGAGGTAAAGAAATCCAGATAAGCAATTAGTATATTTGTTGTTTACAGTGGTGTACATAAACTGAATTCTACATTTACCTAATAACACACCTCTCATTGATTTCAGCTATTTCACAGTATATCTTTGCTTATTATTGTGAACTGAGAAACTAAAACTACAGTTAATTACAGATGAAAAAAAACTATAAGATTTGTAAAATTATTAAAACAAAAAGATACTTTTGTTTGATTTAAAACGTAAACTATGGAAATTAACATGCCTTCTTTCAAGATATCTTTTTCCAATAGTTTAATGCCTAGAACGCACTAAATACTTTCATTTTTTTTGAAAACAATTTCTTTCTGGATACTTTAATTAAAAAATAATCATGCAACGAAGCGAACCCGGATTTTAAAATTTAGTTATGATTGATATTCAAAATCATATGTTTCTAAAGCATATGTGATTCATAAATATGTATTCATATGATTCATAAAAATGTTATATTTTCTTATTCCAAAAAATTTGTCATTTAAATACAAAAAGAAATTGTACTTGAAACGTTTCAGTCAGTGAAAAGAAAAGTCAATGTAAAATATGTGCAGTTTTTATCCTTGAAAATCTATATAAAGGAAATTCGATTAAGTTTTTATTTCATTAAATTTTATCTTTAATTAAAATTCTACAAGAAAAATTAGTCGCTTCAAAGTTGCTAGGCAAAGAATCGCCTACAAAATAGAATCTCACTCAGAAATATTAATTTTAATTTCGCTACAGATTTTTGGCGAGCATAAATTTAAGATATTCTGAAAATTAAGAAACACCGGAAGAAAAACATTCAAAATTGTCTTAGAAAGTTGGCCACTGTAAGTTCAACAAGTAACTACAAATTTTCGAATAAAATGTATATGAAAAATTAAATAATACTTTTAAAGTGCTAAATAAGAAATGTCTAAATCTAAAAGTAAATGTAAGGCAATCCAATTTAAAGCGACCTACTCAAAATTCCATATCTTTTTAATCTTGTGTGATGTGAATGTGGTGAACTTGCATAATGATTAAAAACCAATGTTTATTATTCTCAAAAACACTGTTCGTCTTAGAGGGAGATAGTCACAAAGAATGTTCACTGCAAGTATACATTATTTCTAGAAAAAAAAAAAAAAAAAAAAGAAGAAGAAGCTGCATGAAGATTTTCGTGATTTTCCTAAAGTATAATGTGCATATGAACCAGTTCCTGAGAATGTACTCCACAAAGGAATCCCACCCCTTAAGCAGATAGCCGTAGTGTGCTTTGGCATAATCTAATAAATCCAAATCCTACTGAAATATTATGCATAGCTGGTTTTCTTCATAACTAACAACTCGTCATTCAAGTAACTGACTGCACGCCGTGCATGGAAATTTTAATGACATTTTAAGAATAAACTGAAAACAAACAAGAAATAATTTTCGCTATAAGAGTATTAGACTAACAAAAGTGAAGAAAATAATCTCAAATTAACTTAGCAATTTTTTTTTTAAAATAAGATTATGCAGTTACTTACCTTCCTTTTTCTAATCTTTTTTAGATTAATACTTTTCATGAAAAATTACCAGTAAAAACTTTATAAAAATGATTTATTAATGACCTTTGTTAGTTAACTATGTCGGTTTTAAAATTCTATTAAGTGCTATAAGTTGCATTAATTTTCTATTCTTAAGTTCCTTCTTACTTTTTCTTACTTTTTCAACTAAAATTTATTAGTTAAAAAAATATGAAAGTAAAAATTATCCTTCTTTCCATCTTTCCACAAATCATTACGGGAATATCCATTTACAGTTATTAAAGCCTGAAAAAAGCATATCTGCGATGTTATTGTCATGCGATGATTTGTAGATACTTTATTTTTTACCACGATATTTTCGACGACGATGTTTTTAAACTGCGAAATTTTTTAACCGCTTTATTTTCGACGACGATATTTTGTACGACGATGTTTTAGAACTGCCCACGATGTTTTGTAGCACGACGTTTTCGCCTTGCGTTGTTTTCTCCGCGATGTTTTCGGCTGTAACCCTCAGTTGTTATTAATTTATTTATTATTAATAACAACTGAGGTTATTAATTTTTCAGTATTGCTCTTACATTGAGACTAACGGAAAAGAAATTAATTAAAAATATAAATATTTAATGATAATTTAATATGTATGTGCATTTTCTTTATGTTTCTAGCATTTTACTGTAACTATATATATATATATCATTTTCTGGTAAGCATTTCAGTATGAATTTATATACCATTTTCAAATATGAATCCTTAGTAAATCAGTCATTAAATGGCCAAATTTTATTTCTAGTATAGTATAACTGAGGTCGTGGAAAATCTGTAGTTTTTTACACTTCTAGAATATTTAATATCTTTTCCAAATGTTTATATTTTATAATTTTTGACTGTAGAAGAAAGGGGAGATAACAGTAATGTAATATGAGAGTAAGGAAAAAATATAAATATGTAGTTCTTTAAAACTGTGCTTATCTTTAATAAATCTAAAGCTTACATCAAACGTTTATTTTTCATCATACTTTTAACTATATACATTTAAAATCTTCTCCTTAACTATTTATTTTATTGTAAAAAAGCAAGTATCTGATAAAAACTTAAAAAACATTTCATTATTTTGTACTTTTAAATTTATTATGAAATAAACTAAAGGTTAATTTTTTTAAGTTCAGAGCATTCAAAATTGTTTCCTTAATAAGTAAGTTGAAAAAATTCTATAATGAATTTAAGAAATGGATAACAGAAACTTTTCACTGATTAGATTCTTGCATTGTTTAATACGTCATTATGAGTATCGTAAATATTGCCTAAAACAAAAATGATGTTAAGGAAATCTGGTTCCCATTTTCAAATATGAAAGAAAATTTTTGGAAAGTATGAAATAGTATTTTCCAGCTTTCCTAACCTAACAGTAGTACTATTGTTTTCCAAGCAGTTTGATATTTTCTGAAGTATTAATACTAAATTCTTATTGAGGATATATTATCACATTAAAATGATATTAAACCATAATCAAAGAATTCATTTCTGACTGTAAATTATAATACTTATTTAAAATGTAGGATAAGAAATAATTTTTCTTTTCTTTAGAAAGTGAGTACATTTCTTAAACCATTCTTGGTTTTAAATTATGATAGTTATTTAATGCGAAGTAAGGGAAATTAAGTGTTTATTGTTTACGTTTGGACAGTTTCCTCACCCAGCATGAAATAAAGTCCCCTAACTTGTAATAGAGGAGTAGCCTAGACTAACAAAGCATGCCAAACACAAACATAGGGTGACATCACTTTTTTTCTTGTGCTGTCCATTTTCTTCCAGTTAGTTGTAATCTTCTTCTCCTAACTATGAAAACAGACATGAAGCGGACGGAGGTCCTTTGTTCAAAATGTGGAGCTCACCTTGGCCATGTGTTTGATGATGGACCAAAGCCAACAAAGAAACGCTACTGCATCAATTCAGCGGCACTAGATTTTAAAAAGGCTGAAGACTGTTCATCTAATGATGTTCCTAAGAGTTAAAATGAAATAATAATTTTTGTACTGCGATTAGTTGTTCTAGGTGCTCTCAGCGAAAAGCTTTTTATACTGTTCAAAATGCATTTTGTACATCTGTTTTTGTAAAGCACCTTTAGTTTAAATATACATACTGCATTGACTGTTGCTATGTGATAAAAAGTAATCAGTTTATAAAAAATATTGAGAATTTTATTTGCATTTTAAAACTAATTATTTAGTAATTAGTTTTAAAAACGTGTTATTGAGAATGGAAATAATGAACAGATGTAATGTTCGTTACGTCTGTTCATTATTTCTATTCTGAATAACACATTTTTTCATTTATGTATTAGAATGAATATAAAATGATGTATTTTTATTTAAAAAAAATTTTTCTTTTTTTGCCTTCGTAGTTAAGGCAATATTGTATTCTTAAAATATATGTAAAAGATATATATGTGACTACTTATTGTGTTTCAAGTATAAAGATGTGCATTGAATTATCATATGATTTCATAATAATTTTATCTGCATTGTGTGCTTATTTTGTGGTTATTACAATGAAGCTTTGAGCATTTACGACTTTTGTCAGTACTCGCATTTCATCTGCAAATGAAATTTTATATAGTTATATTTTTAAAATAATTTCTTTTGTTTGGAAACATTCTTGAATGAAGTATAAATTTGTTAAAATAAGAATGAATATTTTCAATGGGACATATTTTTAATAAGGGTTTTTCTAAGACCTCTGTACTATATTTCATGCTAATTTCTATTCAAACAATTATTCTTTGTAATATTTCACATCTGTAAGTTCAGTTAAAAGATCTTTTATTGATTTTATATGCATTTTTGGAGGTGAAAATTAATGAATAAATTTTTAATATTAAAAATTATTTTGATGTTTCGTATTTTTCAAATTTTGGTGTAGAAGTAAAAGTATTCTTTCAAAACTAAATGTTTTGTTTCAGATGTAATGTATGTATTATTCAATTTATTTATCATATCAGGGTGATGAACTTTATTGTAAATTGTGAATAATATATAATAGAATTAATTACAAATGAATAATGCATGTAAAATATTTCATATGAAAAGTGAAAGTTTTTTCAGGAGTGATTGAATTTAGATAAATTTAGATCAAAATAAACTAATCTGCATAATAATTTGCTTGCAGTATTTGATATTTTTTGAGAATTTGCTTCCAATGAATGTATAATTTCTATAATATGTTGAGTTATTTCTTAGTATATTTTATCTGTTTATGGAAAAAAGAGAATTTTTTTTTTTTTTTTTAAATTTTTATTTTGGGATTTTGTTTGGTTTAAACAGTTAGGTGGTTATTAAAAAGTCATTTGCTTTTACTTTGTATATGTTGGCTAGATACAACTTATGCTGTAGTGATTAATTATTAAACTTTTAATAATTGTGAGTATTAAATGTGAGCAACTTTGGAAAATCTTAATTTCTTTGAAAAAGTGCATCTTGTTCATAGTATTATGAACAAAAGCTGAAAAATGTATTTAAATTGTAATTAGAAAAATCAAAATAAATATATGAATAAGTTTGTTGAAATTGCTTTTTTTTTTTTTTTTGGGGTGTGTGTGTGTGTGTGTGTTCGCATAGGGTGTAAAACGAGTACGGAAATATGTATACACATCTTCTAACCGAGGACATCCTCGGTTGACAAGAATGCCAGAAAATCGCAATCAGCAGGGTTCGTACGGTCCTTAAAAGTTCTTAAAAAGTCCTTAATTTTTTTCAAAAATGATTTTTGGTCCTTAAAATTCCTTAATTTTGGCCAAAACGAATAAACGATCCTTAATTTTGCTCATTTGACATTTCTTATCATTTCTAATGATTGCCATTCTCAGTGTAAATTGCGATTTCTCATGAATATGGAATTAAAATTACACCGCTCTTAAACAATCTGTTGGCGGATTTGCGTTGCAAACCGTTTGCATTAAATCTGCTGCTGAAGTATTTTTCAAGCTATGCTTCTCTAACAGTATTTCTGCTGTCTCTGAGTTATTGCCGTGGTTACAATAAGCATGCGGGCCAAAGTTATAAATTAAAAGTTCACTCCTGCTTGGTTACAATTAAAGCTTTTGTCTCCACAATAATATTAGCATATAAGCATCCTGTCTTATACTATTACATTTCTCTTAAACAAAACACTTTGTTGTGTTCTTTAAATAGTCGTGATAAAGTCCCTTATCGTCATTAAAAAGCAAATGGCCTAGGAGTTGCTGTGGCCTTCGACAGAAACAAGCAGCAATAGTGAGTATCTTTCACTACAATAGAAGTTATTAACTTAAGCTAGCAATCAGATCGAGAAACGTGAAAATCTAGTTATGCTTTGCCAGGATGAAACAACTAGCTTACTTATATATTAGCTGAACGTACTATCTGTTATACACGGTCACAAAGTGAGGAAGTCGATAATAAATTGCAAGTTCATCTTTTAATACCCTACGTTGTTTTTATCCCTTAAGTCATTGTACCTAAAGCTTTGGTCCCAAAATATTCCCCTATTATCAATAACAAATTTTTATTTTTCATTATTAATCTAGAGCTTTATATTATATCAGAAAGTTGCTTAAAATAGTGCAAATTATATGACCTTTTTTTAATCATCAGTATTGAATTTTAGAGAAAATTAATATTCCTAATTTCAGTTTAAGCAATACAGCAAAATACTTGACGCGTTTTTATCAAATTTCTGACTGCATTTCGAGCGGTGCAATGTCTCTTATTTTATTTATCTCTAGAATATAAACTGAGCTTCCATATTAAGAATCAGACGATATTTTCATTCGCATATATGTGAATGCTGCAACTTTTGAACTTTGAATAAAAGCATTTCGTGTCGAACTGTTTATATTAAAAGCGAAGTATTAATTACACATACACTACATGCTACTGCTTTAAAAACTGCTTATTTAAGCGACTTTTTTATCGAAATAACTGGTAGTGTTTGCGTGATTCATTTGTCGGGATCTGAGAGAAACTAATATGGGTTGTGAAAAAGTGAAGCTCCAGAAAAAGATGTGAGACAAAAAAATTGTCCCTCGTTTTGAGTTCGAGATGAGTTTCAAGTTTAGCTTATAAGGTTATAAGGTATTTCTCCCACTTTCCTAGCGTGCCTTCTTGGTGTAGTGGTTCTGCATGCTGGGCCGGTATTCCAGAGGTCCTTCGTTCGATTCCCGGCGAAGGCATTGCTAATTTTTCATCTAGCCTACTTAAAAAAAAACCTAATCACTCTACAGTGGCGCCTGAACTAAAAGGGTATTGGATAAGGTTTCTCCACACCCAGGATTTGGCGAATGGGTCGCCTGAAACCCCCAGTCGCCCTTTAAAAAGGGGAGTATATAAGGTATTTCTCCCACTTTCCTAGCGTCCCTTCGTGTTGTAGTTGTTCTGCACGCTGGGCCGGTATTCCAGAGGTCCGTGGTTCGGTTCCCGGCGAAGACGTTCCTAAGTTTTCATTTTGCCTACTTCCAAAAATACCTAAATACAAAAATGTCTACAAGGTTATTTCTTAAGGAGAAAAATATTTTCCTCTTTGGCATATGATATTACGATATGCGTTTAATATCACACAGTATGTTTTATCTACTCAAAAGTAGGGATTAATTCATATTAGTTTCCTTTATTTCAAATTTTATTTTTGAATAAGTGGGCAGATAGAATATGGTTGTTGATAGAACTGGATATTTAACGTTAAAAGCGATCAAAATCACTTTTATGATTCTTTTCAATAATTATATTCTGTAAGGACTATTCAATTCTCTTTTATTTGTCTTAAATATAGATATTTCATGAAATAATTTTAATTGGTAATTTGTAAATAACAGATTTTATTAAAATATTCATTAGTTACAATTCTGGTTTCCTAAGCAAATTCCCTTTTTAATTTTTCTCTTTTGAAAGGCAAAACTCTCAAAATGTCCAAATCCAGATTTGATTCAAAGCGACTAAAAACGCAAGATATAAATCGCTAACTGCATGCATATTTAACATGAATAATTTTATTATTTTAATTGTCTCATTGGAATAATGAAGGTGTTATTTACTGATCTATATCGTTAGGACTTCTGACAAACTTGAAGGCGTCAATAAAAGTGCTTGCTCATTACTTCGTAAAATGGTTTCGGTTAAGCTGATTATGGAAACGTCCACTAGAGCTGTATACCAAATAAAAGAGATGCCTTCGTCGAAAACTTTTGAATGGAAAATGACTTGTATACACGTTACATATGGGGAAAACCATGAAAACACCTACGCAGCCATTTAAAAAAACGTGGTGTCTTAATTGAAAAGTTCAAATTAAATCTGAGGTATTAATTTATTCAATAGCTATCTTTTTTTAATTGTGCTCTTATTTAAATGTACTAAGAGGGCAAAATGATCTCTCAGAGGTAGACCTGAAGCAATGTTCCAGCAAACTGATTTCGCTATTTTTTTTTTAACAAATAATTTTTATCAGTTATATCTCTATGGGATAATGCTTACAGAAAATTGTCTAAATTGACTATTTAAGAACATAAAATACAGTTTTGTAGCAGTTACTTCAGCAGAAGACTGTTAACAAATATATTATAAAATCACAATAACCAATAAACAATTTGTAATAAGTCTTGAAATAATTTGTGAAAAAATTACTTTGCTTCTAGATCGGGAACAATAATTCATTTCACTAATAGTCACAATGCAATTCCCACTACTGAGATTCAGAAGAGTCGAATGACGAAAAAAAGTGAGAAATTTCGAGTTTACGAATCTCGAATATTTTTCAAGCCTGGCAGGATTAGATTGTTTTACCTGCTAAGGTATTTCTCCCGTTTTCTTGGCATGCCTTCGTAGTGTGGTGATTCCCGTTGAAGGCGTTGCATATTTTTCAGTTTAATCTGCTTCCAAAAAATACCTAATATCTCTACATTGGCGCCAGAATTAGAAAGAGTGGTGGATGATGAACCTCCGCACCCAGGATTCGGCGATTGGGTCCCCTAAAAACTCCGCCCTTTAAAAGGGGGAGTATATAAGGTATTTCTCCCGCCTTCTTGAAATGTTTTAGTGTGGTGGTCTGCACGTTCAGCGCGTAATTGAGAGGTCCATGGTTCGATTCCCGGTGAAGGCGTTACATCTTGCCTGTTTCCAAAAAAAAAAAAAAAAAAAAACCTAATGTCTCTACAACCTTATAAATAATTATAGCAAAATATATTGTAGGATTGTCAGTGGTTAGTAATTATAAAATTATGAATAACGATTGAGCTATTTTTAAGTAATTTCGCTTGTATAGGAAACGTTATGTTCTATACATCAAGAGAGAAGTACGAATAATGTATTATGTCCAGATCTATGTGAATCACTTATTTCTCTTCTTACTACTTTTCTCTACATCATAATGTACAAGCCTTTCTGATATCATATGTTAGATGTAAAATGTGTTTCTCTCGAAACACTGTGCAATATTTACTTCTAGGGCCATAGACAGATGATAGCTCCAACTATTTTGCATAAAATCTAGATAAGTGCATTGCTAGTGTAAAAAATTATATACAAGAAATAATTATATTGTGAGTTCAATTGTATGCCCTAATGCTGCGATATATAATTCTAGATATCACTGCAATTTTTTATTCATGCTATACCTTAAAGCAAGGTAGTTAGCCGTTATAAACATTAAATTTCATATTAATTAATATCTAAAGTAGTTAGGTCTATTTCGAAAAATAAAGCTGATACGGAAAAAATCGATGTCACTTTTGAAATGCAGTGAATATCCAAAAATAAATTTCATTTCCAAAACACTAAAAAAAAAGTTTCTTTTCGACCAGCAAGAAACAAGAATCACCATAAATAAAATTTATTTCAAATCATAACGAATAAGTTCTTTCTGGGTCAACATTTAACGTTTACACGACTCCTTTACACATCGGACATAACAATTACGGAAATATCTAACAAAAGCTTTGGATTATTTTTCAAGGTGCTCGGTTTTAAAGCAGTGATTATAGTAATATTTGTTTCCATATAATTTTAAAGACCTTTTTGGCTACTATATTATTTCACGTTAAAAAGTCGATGAAAATAAGTACATTTAACATTTTAGAGAAAACGTAAAATAATTCAATAAATTTATTCATTCTTAGTGAAGTGAACAAAATTAATCCAATTCTGAACAATAGAAGAAAAATGTATTTTATTATTACTTGCTAATTCCAATCTCGATTATTTACTTATTCCTAGTCAATTAATTAATGCTAATTTCAAAAATGATTAACTTATTATAAGAAATGATGAATTTGAAAATTCCTATTTAAAAGAGGTAACCAAATGATACTGTAATTTGTGCTAATTCACCATTAATTCCACTTTCAATATGAAGGAGATACTGTCATTTTGCAATTCCTTTTGAGAATAAAAAGGGAGCAAAATCGAGTTTGATATGATGACAAACTTTAACAACGTTTCTTGCAATACATAATGTAATGTCGCAATGAAATGGGCTTTGTTTTTCAAAATCAATTTCTTTATCGGGGATACATAAAAAATAATTCTGATATCGTTGA